CAGTGGGTAGATTGCCTTGCCTTACGCACCCCGTCCAACTGGGACGGGCTTTTGTCTACTTCATTGTTCTGACTATGGTGTTCTAGAGCCTCATACCTGTTATATAAGGGTAGATGGGAAGATCAGGTGGACAGGGAGACAGATCACCTACCACCCTGAGCAGAAACCTGCTTCCATTCCCCCCTTGGCCTAAGTCTTCTCCTACTTCCTGGTGGGATGGGAGAACTTTTAACTTATGTGTAGCATCTGCCTTGCGGGATAAAAAAAACTTTATTACTTGTGTTGTGGCAGGATTGTGAGTCTGTCTCAGGGAGGGTAGAGTATGCTTCCACCAGTCAATTTCCCTCTCTGACTCCCTGCTCCTTAATCTACTCACCTCCCCCTGAAGCTCCACCAACAGGCTGAGCAATTCTGGCTGGGCACATCTTCCACAGGCATATCCACTGCTGCTGTCAGACACCGACAGAAGACTCGGGCACACCCTGCAGCCCAAGACATGGCTAGGTGTTTTCCCCGAGATCTCTGTCTGGGTAGCCACATCAGTGACTGTGGCTGGAGAGGCTGCAAGAGATGGGAAGGCCATAGTTTTCTGCCTGATGGATACCATGGCCGGGCTCTTCACTAGCAGATTACAACCACAATTGGGAAATACTGTTGGAAAAGAGTGGTGAAGTCTCCCTCCCCACTTAACCAGCCTGTGTGAACCGCTGCGCAAACTGCTGTGCCATGCCCTGACTGACACACCACAGCTTTTTTGCCCATCTTGATCACTCATGCTCCCTAGGGGCTGCCTTTGTATGGCCGGAGAGGGGGCACTGCTGGCTCCTCCCATGCCTTGTGAGGGCTGCCAGGCCCTGGTGGCTCCCTTGGCTGCCTCGACTGGCCTTGATGCTGGAAAAAAAAAAAACTCTGCCTGCCTCGATCCCCCACTCCACTGCAGAACACGTCTGACCAGGAGTCAATCGCCTCGGTGATCCTGATTTATATGGCCCACTGCTGATGCTGCTGGCTTTGCCCATGTCTCATCAGCCTCCCTCCTGAGGGCTGCCGAATTGAGTATGCAGAGATTTTTGTCAAAGAAAACGACTGTTACAATAGTTAACCTATAATGAGAAGATACCTAGTAACTGTAATGGCGTTAGTCTTTCAAAAGTATCTTTAGTACTTAACTTTAAAGGCCAAATGGCTTCTATATCATGAAAGATAAACTCCTTAAAGGTGTAAGATAGCAAGTAAGGCATACATCAGTAAACTGTAAATGAGGAGACTGAGGCCAAGATACAGTACATGGGTAAAGAACAGGATTGCCACAACTCATTTTAAAACATTTCCTATTAAGCAAAGAATTAAAGATATATTTAGCAGCCAAAGAGGTGAGAGAGGTTCAACCCACTCAACTTCAGAATATTTAAATTTCACAGAATCACAGAATCACAGAATTTCTAGGTTGGAAGAGACCCCACAATCATCGAGTCCAACCTCCGACCTAACACTAACAGTCCCCACTAAACCATATCCCTAAGCTCTACATCTAAATGTCTTTTAAAGACTTCCAGGGATGATGACTCCACCACTTCCCTGGGCAGCCTGTTCCAATGTCTAACAACCTTTTCGGTAAAGAAGTTCTTCCTAACATCCAATCTAAAACGCCCCTGGTGCAACTTAAGCCCATTCCCCCTCATCCTGTCACCAGGAATGTGGGAGAACAGATCAACCTCCACCTTGCTACAGCCTCCTTTAAGGCACCTGTAGAGAGTGATAAGGTTGCCCCTGAGCCTCCTTTTCTCCAGGCTGAACAAACTCAGCTCCCTCAGCCGCTCCTCGTAGGACTTGTTCTCCAGGTCCCTCACCAGCTTCGTCGCCCTTCTCTGGACCCGCTCAAGCACCTCGAAGTCCTTCTTGTAGCGAGGGGCCCAAAACTGAGCACAGTACTCAAGGTGCGGCCTCACCAGAGCCGAGTACAGGGGGACGATCACTTCCCTAGCCCTGCTGGTCACACTGCTTCTTATACAAGCCAGGATGCTGTTGGCCTTCTTGGCCACCTGAGCACACTGCTGGCTCATATTCAGCCAACTATCAACCATCACCCCCAGGTCCTTCTCTGCCTGGCAGCTCTCCAACCATTCCTCTCCCAGCCTGTAGCTCTGCTTGGGGTTATTGCGCCCCAGGTGCAGGACCCAACACTTGGCCTTGTTGAACTTCATACAGTTGGCCTCAGCCCATCGGTGCAGCCTATCCAGATCCTCCTGCAGAGCCTTCCTACCCTCAAGCAGATCGACACACACACCTAACTTGGTGTCATCTGCAAACTTACTGAGGGTGCACTCAATCCTCTCATCCAGATCATCGATGAAGATATTAAAGAGGACCGGCCCCAGCACCAAGCCCTGCGGAACACCACTAGTGACCAACCTCCAACTGGACTTGACTCCATTTACCACGACTCTTTGGGCCCGGCTATCCAGCCAGTTTCTAACCCAAGAAAACATACAACAGTCCAAGCCAAGAGCAACCAGTTTCTTGAGGAGAATGCTGTGAGAAACGGTGTCAAAAGCCTTGCTGATGTCAAGGTTCACCACATCCACAGCCTTTCCCTCATCTACCCAGCATGTCACTTTGTCATAGAATTTAAATGAGAATTTAAATTTAAATGAGAGCAAACTGACAATGAATCATTCTGTAGCTGATAGGAGGAAAACCAAACTACTTATTTTGGACATGGTTCAATTCAAGCATTTTTAGGGTAACCATTCTTTCAACTGGACTCTCTAAAGAAAGTTTAGACTACTACATGATTTGCAAATGCTTTGAGAGTCTTTTTTGCTTCTGTTATAAAATCTTACATTGAGTGAAAAAATTGCAAGAGATAAGGATATGAAATAACCAGTGGCAGAATAAAACTATAAAGGACTTCCATCCACAAGTACCATTACAATTACATGTCACATCTGTGTTTATTTAACAAGTCCCAGTGATGACAGGAGATCCAGAACCACAAAGATAAGCCAAAAGGTGACAAAGAATGTTCACAATTAACTTTTGGAAAGAAAAAAAGTAGGGGCTATATAATTGTACAGAAAATTTGTAACATTTCTATTCAGTTTTAGAAAGATTGGGTACAAAATTTAAATCTTTGTAGGCATTGAAGGATTCTGAAGTATTTATAGCATCATGTAATCCTCAAAACTGGACATCTCCTGTATTGTTAATGAACAGTATCAGTCCAAATAGGGGAAAAAATACCTCTGGTAAGAAATCTTGCAATAAGCCAATGGCCCAATTAAAATAATAATAATAATAATAATAATATTTATTATAAAATGTGGGATGTTCTTGTCCGAAATGAACTTGGACACTTCGTTTAAAAAAAGTTAACATAAACAGATAGACACAGAAAATCTATAAAGGAAATAGAGATTTAAAAGTTTAATTCCAAGACTATCTCTATGTTTTCGTTTAGAAAGGTGAAAATGTATTCCCTAAAAGCAGATTTCCTAAATAAAGATATATTAAATAAATAAATTAATTAATTAATTAAATAGGGTATCCTTGAAATTGATGGTTTACATCCTTGAATTACGCATCACTGCCTGCAAGCCATATCTCCAATTTTCATTGCAGGCATAAAAATATATATTTTTATAAAGTTTCAGAACATGGAATGGCATTACTTTTCCCCTCCTGCAGATCTAAAATAGTCCTGATATCATCAGGGTAAATACTGCATCAGTATTTAACAATTCAGGGAACTTTTGTTTGCTATTTTACTGGTGGCAATATTCAAGAAATAACTATCTGCATCACTGTTTTCAGTAACAACATGGAATTTCAAAAATGCCCTCATTGAAGAGATCAAACATTTCCACCTCTCAGATTTGTTTTATCAGTCTGTCTGAAGATGGGCAAAGACAATATTGTAGCAGCATATGCTCATTTAACATTTGGAAGATTGTTTTTCTTTTCTCACTCCGCACAGCCATATGAATTAGAAACTCATTTATTTCTCTTTGTTATGAAAACACAATCTGAAGCAGAAGTATGAAGCAAATTCAAAAGGAAGTGTAATTATGCAACAAGTAAGCAACTGCATAATCTCATTATACCATAGATGGGGTTTAACAATAAAAGTGTTAAGAACATTTAGAATTGAAAGTCAACAAAATTAAAAACCATAAAATGAAATATATTTTAACATAAAGTTTAACTGCAGGAAGAAACAGCTGAAGCCAAAAGCCTTGTACAATTCAAAAATGAATCAGATCTCTTCTGTATGGATAGAAGAATAGAAGTACATGTAACTTGACATGATATAATCAGAGAACAGAGATACAAAGATTATTTCTGTAGTCCAGACTGATAATCACTGAAGATCAAGGAAAGACATAAACTGTGGTCTAAATTATCATTTAATCTGATTTGGATGTTATCTGTCTGGCTTTGAGAATCCTCCAGTCTCAGTAAGTTTCATGTGAATAAAACATGATGAGAATAGAAAGATATATTAACTACAAAGCTAAATGGGCTGCAACTTCAAATCAAGATCAGAATCCAGACTTAGTATTAGAGGACCAAAATTAAATCTATATGAAATGGTTCTTACTGTAGCTCTTAATATATGTGTTTCTTTTTTCAATTAAAAAAAAAAAAAAGAAAAAAAAAAGTTTGATACCGTGGGATTAATATTTTTGGAAAATAAATTTGTCATGCGTAGCAAGACAAAAGAGATTTTGCAGTCTTCAGAATACATCCCCAAGATGCTAATAGAGTAATGGTAAAGCTATTTTTTTGATGTTTGTTTTTCAATGTCCCTTATCTTGTCAAAAGCTAGAATAATTTGGATATCTAATTATTTAACCATTTTCATTGTGGTTCTTAATATTCCACTGCTTTGCAATAAGTAAATAATATTCCACTACTTTCCACATACATCTGCAATAAGATATAGCATGAGTACTTTTAGTCTTCCTGAGAAACGTAGCTCTTATTATTAAGGAACATACCCACGTGCTTTCTTCTTGACGATACTGCTTCCAGTTTCGTCCACTATCACTGAACATCAGAAGGTAGCTTGTTACCCAGTCGGAGCTCCCATAACCACCTTGAGTAGCAACAGCAGTTATCTCAGCTCTTTCACCAAGATCAATCTGAAGCCATTGATATTTATTGGACACAAATGGAGACCAGCCACCAGCACCTTAAAAAGAATGAAAAAGAACAGAAGGAAGTTAACTCACTGAAATATATTTTTATAAATGAATTCAAGATATACTGTCACCCAAACAGTTCAGATACTATATAATACGTATTAAAAAAATTATTGTACACATGAAGGTTATGATAGAATGTAAGAATCTATAACTATTAAAACTCATCATTATTTTTTTTTGATTTGTATAAAATTAATTTTGTAATCAAATAAAAATCAAAATAATTCTTACTCAGTTAAGACAAGCTCTTCAAATAATAACAAAAAAACTCTGAATTCCATTTATTCTTTTTATTTATTATTATTTTATTAGACACCACAATTTTATTTTCCTTCAACTGTCTGAGTCCCTAACATCCCTTCTAACCTAAATGATTCTGTGTTCAATGACACTTGAACATACAGATTTGTGTATGAAGAAATAAAGCACATTTGGATGACAAATTTACATTCACCTCTTAAAGTGATTAGCCAATTTATATGAAAAACAGTAAGAAAGTATGATGTCTACACATGCAGTTCTAACCAGGTGTCCTGGTTTCAGTTAGAACAGAATTAATTTTCTTCCTAGTAGAAAGGAAGTCCCAGAGAGGGAAGGGGGAGGGTGAGCGAACGGCTGGGTGGTGTTTAGTTGCCGGCCGGGTTAAACCACGACACCAGGAGACAAACTGGCTTGTGAAGATAAAATGTAACTTAAAACACACAGCTACATGTAATTCCTAAACTATTCTAAATAATCAGAAAGACATATACATATACACGTGTCTGTGAGAGAAAATAAAAAGGGGTTTTTTAGATATGTGAATGGAAAAAGGAGAACTAAAGAATACATAGGGCCGCTCCTTGACAGGGAAGGTCTTCTCACAGACGATGACACAGGCAAAGCAGAGACGCTTAACGCCTTCTTTGCCTCTGTCTTCAATGCCGATGATGGGCTTCGGGACCCAGGGTGCCCTGAGCTGGAGGACCGGGACGGTGGGGATGACAAACTCCCAACCGACCCTGAACGTGTGTGGGATCTGCTACTCCACCTGGATCCCTACAAGTCCATGGGTCCGGATGGGATTCATCCCCGGGTGCTGAAAGAGCTGGCGGACGTCATCACGGAACCTCTCTCAATTATTTTTCAACGATCCTGGGAGTCTGGAGAGGTCCCGGTAGACTGGAAGCTGGCAAATGTTGTGCCGATTTTCAAGAAGGGTCAGAAAGAAGACCCTAGCAATTGCAGGCCTGTCAGTCTCACATCAGTGCCTGGTAAAATCATGGAGAAGATGGTTCTCGAATGTATTGAGGCGCACCTGGGGGACAAAGCAGTCATTGGTCCCAGCCAGCATGGGTTTGTGAAGGGCAGGTCCTGCCTAACTAACCTGATTTCCTTTTATGATAAGATCACCCGTATGGTGGACCAAGGGAAACCAGCTGATGTGATTTTTTTGGACTTCAGCAAGGCTTTTGACACGGTTTCCCATAGGATCCTACTGGACAAAATGTCCACCATACAGCTAAATAAAAACATCATACGATGGGTGAGCAATTGGCTAACGGGCAGGGCCCAAAGGGTTATGGTGAATGGGGCTGCGTCAGGCTGGCGGGCGGTCACCAGTGGGGTCCCTCAAGGCTCCATTTTAGGGCCGGTACTTTTCAATATTTTTATAAACGATCTGGATGTAGGAATAGAAGGCATTTTGAGCAAGTTTGCTGATGACACCAAACTTGGAGGAGTTGTGGACTCGAATGAGGGTGGAAAGGCCTTGCAGAGGGATCTGGATAGGTTGGAGAGCTGGGCGATCGCCAACCGCATGAAGTTCAATAAGAGCAAGTGCCGGGTCCTGCACCTGGGACGGGGAAACCCTGGCTGCACGTACAGACTGGGCGATGAGACGCTGGAGAGCAGCCTAGAAGAGAGGGATCTGGGGGTCGTGGTAGACAGCAAGTTGAATATGAGCCAGCAGTGTGCCCTGGCAGCCAGGAGGGCCAACTGTGTCCTGGGGTGCATCAAGCACGGCATCGCTAGCAGGTCGAGGGAGGTGATTGTCCCGCTCTACTCTGCGCTGGTGCGGCCTCACCTCGAGTACTGTGTGCAGTTCTGGGCACCACAGTCCTGGCTATCGGGGGAGGTCCCAGCTGACTGGCGACTAGCAAATGTGACGCCCATCTACAAGAAGGGCCGGAGGGCAGACCCGGGGAACTACAGGCCGGTCAGTTTGACCTCAGTACCAGGGAAGCTCATGGAGCAGATCCTCTTGAGAGTCATCATGCGGCACTTGAAGGGCAAGCAGGCGATCAGGCCCAGCCAGCATGGGTTTATGGAAGGCAGGTCCTGCTTGACGAACCTGATCTCCTTCTACGACAAAGTGACGCGCTGGGTGGATGAGGGAAAGGCTGTGGATGTGGTCTACCTTGACTTCAGCAAGGCTTTTGACACCGTCTCCCACAGCATTCTCCTCAAGAAACTGGCTGCTCTTGGCTTGGACTGGCGCACGCTTCGTTGGGTTAGAAACTGGCTGGATAGCCGGGCCCAAAGAGTTGTGGTGAATGGAGCCAAGTCCAGTTGGAGGCCAGTCACTAGTGGCGTCCCCCAGGGCTCGGTGCTGGGGCCGGTCCTCTTTAACATCTTCATCAATGATCTGGATGAGGGCATTGAGTGCACCCTCAGTAAGTTTGCAGATGACACCAAGCTAGGTGCGTGTGTCGATCTGCTTGAGGGTAGGAAGGCTCTGCAGGAGGATCTGGATAGGCTGCACCGATGGGCTGAGGTCAACTGTATGAAGTTCAACAAGGCCAAGTGCCGGGTCCTGCACCTGGGGCGCAATAACCCCAAGCAGAACTACAGGCTGGGAGAGGAATGGTTGGAGAGCTGCCAGGCAGAGAAGGACCTGGCAGTGATGGTGGACAGTCGGCTGAATATGAGCCAGCAGTGTGCTCAGGTGGCCAAGAAGGCCAACAGCATCCTGGCTTGTATCAGAAACAGTGTGACCAGCAGGGCTAGGGAGGTGATCGTCCCCCTGTACTCGGCTCTGGTGAGGCCGCACCTCGAGTACTGTGTTCAGTTTTGGGCCCCTCGCTACAAGAAGGACATCGAGGTGCTTGAGCGGGTCCAAAGAAGGGCGACGAAGCTGGTGAGGGACCTGGAGAGCAAGTCCTATGAGGAGCGGCTGAAGGAGCTGGGCTTGTTCAGCCTAGAGAAGAGGAGGCTCAGGGGTGACCTTATTGCTCTGTATAAGTACATGAAAGGAGGCTGTAGAGAGGTGGGGGTTGGCCTGTTCTCCCATGTGCCTGGTGACAGGACGAGGGGGAATGGGCTAAAGTTACGCCAGGGGAGTTTTAGGTTAGATGTTAGGAAGAATTTCTTTACTGAAAGGGTTGTGAGGCACTGGAACGGGCTGCCCAGGGAGGTGGTGGAGTCACCATCCCTGGAAGTCTTCAAAAGACGTTTAGATGTAGAGCTTAGGGATATGGTTTAGTGGGGACTGTTAGTGTTAGGTTAGAGGTTGGACTCGATGATCTTGAGGTCTCTTCCAACCTAGAAATTCTGTGATTCTGTGATTCTGTGTATAAAAAGGACATGAAACTGTTGGAGAGTGTCCAGAGGAGGGCTACGAAGATGGTGAAAGGCCTGGAGGGGAAGACGTACGAGGAACGGCTGAGGGCACTGGGCCTGTTCAGCCTGGAGAAGAGGAGGCAGAGGGGAGACCTCATCGCAGTCTACAACTTCCTCGTAAGGGGGTGTCGAGAGGCAGGAGACCTTTTCTCCATTAACACCAGCGACAGGACCCGCGGGAACGGAGTTAAGCTGAGGCAGGGGAAGTTTAGGCTGGACATCAGGAAGGGGTTCTTCACAGAGAGAGTGGTTGCACACTGGAACAGGCTCCCCAGGGAAGCGGTCACTGCACCGAGCCTGACTGAATTTAAGAAGAGATTGGACTGTGCACTTAGTCACATGGTCTGAACTTGGGTAGACCTGTGCGGTGTCAAGAGTTGGACTTGATGATCCTTAAGGGTCCCTTCCAACTCAGGATATTCTATGATTCTATGATTCTATGATTCTATATAGAAAAATAAATAAATAAATAAATAAAATTAAAACAGACAAACAAACAAAACACAGGGCATCAGTTCAGTTTTGTCTTGCCTTCCTTAGTTTGCCTTTATTTAATCAAATAAGGCTACTAACTCCTCTATAAATCAGACTGAAGAAAAAAAAAAGGAAAAAAAAAAAGGACTGGTCACAAACAATCTTATAAGAGCGAATGTTTTTAAATGAATATATTTTGCATTTTTTCTGCAAGCATTTATATATGTTTAGCAGCTTGTGGGTTTTATCAGAGGATAAGGTGACAAAAAATGCTAAAAGATTCATTTCGTACACACAAACTTGGATCACCTTCAGATGTTCTTGAAATATACAAAAAAATACAGAAGAAGCAATACAAATAGTTCCCACAACAACAATAAGCACTATATTATTTGGAACACTTTTATGCTTGTATGGAGTTTGTTATGCTTAACATTTTGTAAATAAAATATCACATATGGTTTAATTTTCCTCAGAGGAAAGTCAAGTTCTCAATATTACCTCCTTAAGGAAAAAGAAATAAAAGTATACTCAGACATTGAATACAGCCATTTAACAATAAAATGGTTGGAATTCACAAGCCACAAAAAGTGAGGTTCATTCTTCAGATGAAGAAATATGTAAATTTTTTTTTTCCTTTTTTTTTTTTTTCTTTTCTCTCCAGATATTTCTGCACTAAAAGAAAACAAACAAAAAAACAAACAAACCAAAAAAAACACCCTCTCCCAAAAACAAACAAACAAACAAACAAAAAATGACCAACCAACCAACCAACCAAAAAAACACCTGTAACAGATACCCACAGGTGAAATTTAAAGGCTTTTGAGTTTTTTTCACTTTTTAAAAATTGTTTCTGCTCTTAATCTAAATTCAGATTTTGAACTTCATGTGAGATATTTTGCATTAAGTCCTT